AGGGAAAATGGACAATAAGAGGAAAGTGAAAAATAAGATAAAATTCTATCAAAGAGTTAAAAAGCAAATAAAATTAAGTAATTATAACAGAAAAAAAACCAAATGAGAACAAGGAAAAGAAAGGAAGAAAAAGGATAAAAATGCAAAATAGCATAAATGAAAGGGAAAGAACTTTAAAAATAAAGAAAAAGAAAAACGAGTTGGAAAACAAAAATCCTCCATGTGGAAGTGTTTGGATGAGTGAAGTTTCTCTTCAGGACTTGTGGTATTTGAAATCAGCCCAGAAGTGAGGAGATATGAATCATAACGGGGCCCTGTGTCTTTCCTCCCACTAAATAGGCTGTTGCTGGATAAATACTGAGCCCTGACCTGCCCCTTTTCTTGAGCTGGGGCTCTCGTCAGTGTAATGTTGTCTGCCTAAGGCTGTGTTCACTCCAGAGCCTTGCATGGTTTGTGTCTGTGCACCCCAAGCCGCTGTTATGGTCAACTAGCTTTAAGGCCCGTGGGCTGGTTAGACACCCCGCCTGCTCCAAAGGGCACCTGTCTGTGCACCCTGAAGATGTAGAAAGTGGCCAAGCAGAGGCATATCCCCAGACACACTGACAGCTGGGGCAACAAATAGACCACTGGCTTCTTTGCTGTAAGGAGGGCAGCAAGGGACATGGAGCCATCTGTGAGGCTCAGTCCTAGGACTTTGAGACCCAGAGCCCTCAGGAAAGCACACTTGACAGGCCTGGCTCCGCACTGCAGCTGCCCACTGTGCCCTCCGCAGCTCCCTGCTGCTGAAGTGTCTCAAGACATCTGCACTTAGCACTCCCCCTGTCTGCGCATCTCTCCTGGGCTACGTTGCACTGCGTCACTTCTGCAGATTGTCCCAGGGACCTTGAGGTTGTTCTGTGATTTCTGATCCCTGGAGTAGCCCAGCCCCAGACAATAATTCCCTTTCGAGATGGCTCCTGGTTATACCTCTCTGAGATACGGTAAGCACTGTCATGGAGTTCTTCTACAAAGCTAGCCTCTCATGTGAGAGAAAAACCTCGTGCTAGACTGACAGCATGCAGGGTCCTGGGCTTGTCCTGAGGCCGGTGCTGCCAGGCCATTACCTATCACTGTGCTTACCTTGTGTTTGCAGAGTCGCGTTCCCCTACCCACACCCACAGACTGGTACTGTGGACTGGTTCATTCTTTTCTTTACATTGTGCTTCTGATTTTCCACGGCATCTCATTTTCCTGTTGCCTCTTAATTGATTCCTGGAGCTGTTCATCTTGTTTTCCTCCCTGAATAGCCATTTTCCTTCTATTTGGTTCCAGGTCATGGAAAGGCTGTGAATTGCTGCCCCCTTCGAGTCCACCATCCTGACTTGATTTTTTCATACTTTAAAAAATGAGGAATAATTTGTGTGCAGTAAAGCTTACCAGTTTTAGTATGCAGACTTCCATGGGTGTAGTCAGGTGCCTAAAGTTGTGTGACTACCACCACCATCAGGACATAGAACAGTCTCCTCCCTGGGCCATTCCCTCTTTTAACCCTTTTGCTGTGAACCCTCATCCCACCTGTGGACACTGACAAACATCCCTATGAGTCCCCAGTCTTTCCTTTTCTAGAGTATCCACGAATAAAATTATATGGTAGGTAATCTTTCGGTCTGGCTTCATTCAAGTAAAAGTATGTGCTTGAGGTTCATCCATGCTGTGTCCATGGATGCTCCATTTTATTGCCGAATCATATTCCATTATGCAGATGTGCTGCAGTTTATTCATCATCACTTGAAGAATTGGTTGTTTCCAGTTTTGTGTGATCATGCATACCACTTCTATAAACATTCACAGGAGCATAAGTTTTTATTTTTCATGGGTAATACCCAGATCAAATATTGGATCAAATATGAGAATATATTTATCAGAAGCTATCCTATCCATTTCTAAATCAGGAGTGCTGTTTTGCATCCCCACAAGCCAAATATGAGCGTGAAGTTGCTTACATCCTCATCAACACTTTTTATTAGCATGTTTTTATGTTTTTATTGTGTGTGTGCTGTGTGCGTGTCTAGCCATCCTGATAAAGACCTAGTAGTATTTCACTATGGGTTTAGTTTGCATTTTTCTAGTGACTAATGATGTTGACGCCACTCTGCTCAGGAGGGGAAAATGCACCTTTCCAAGCAGGCTCAGTGTTCTGGTCTCTACCTGCCTCACTGAAGTTCCCTTTCTTGTCCTGTCCCTGGTGGCTCCCTTCCACCTTCTGCTTTATCATGACTTTCACTGACCCTTCTTGGCCAGGTGGACAGCTGCTTGCCAACCCCACAGGGATTTTCCCCTGAACTAACCTTCACAGGCCCTCAACATAGGTCCAACTCTGGGGATGGCCTAGGGCAGGGCATGGTAATTGCTTTTCTCAGCAGAGCCATGGCGTCTTTGTCCTGAGGTCCCAGGGATGGGAACAGCAGATGAGAATGCCACCTGGACACAGCTCTGTGCCAAGGGGCCTGCTGTCAGTTTCCCTGTGCACCTCAAACTAGTGCCCAGAGGGAAAGAGGGCCATGCAGGTTGGACACCTTGTACCCCGCTTTATGGGTACCATCACCAGCTGGTACCCTTCTTCCTGGACTTCTGGGACCATCAGCTCAGCCTCACTTCTAATTTCAAACAAGGGGAAAAAAAGCATTTAAAGTTACTGGTTACTAGGTATCTCCGTGGATGAAGACAAGTAAAAACATGAGTCTCTTCTCCAATTCCCTCACACTGCATGCAGGGAGGCCAAATCGTACCCCATGGCACCTTTGTCCCAGAAGCACATGTGTGCATATGTGTGTGCACATACCATGTAAGTATTACCTTGCAACATAAATGTACTTGACTTGGGTGGCAGTCAAAAAGTGAAAGCTGTTGGCCTGAGATACACAAAGAGCCAAGTGCCCTCTAAACTTAGAGCTCATTTACATGGAACATGGAGCCAAGATAGAATTCAGTAATAAACTAAGAGCTTGAACTGTCCAAATGCAAATGGAAAGTGTCCTGGTCCTCTCAGGCAGGAGGGACGTTGCTGCGGCATTATGTACAGTTGCAGGAAACTGCCTTTGCAACTGCGTGGGACTCTAAGAAAATCCCTCTTATTCACATCTTTTCAGCCCCCATCCTCCTGATTTTACCTGGAGAATTTTCCTGTAGGACACAGAGAATGCCCATTTGAGTGATGGAGCTCTCAGTGAGAAAACGTGATAATGACACCCACTTTCCATTTGCTAAATGTGCTTATCAGAAACCACACACTTCTGCTCTTATGAACCCAGCAAGGAAGCAGGGATGGGGAGAGTCAGGGACCTCATGGGAACAGTGAGTAGGTCACAGGCCCAGGGGTCTCAGTGTGACTTGTGCATTTTCTTATGGAGGGTGCACAGCAAGGCCTTGGGTGAATTTTGGGGTATGTGATGGGGGGCCTGATTTAGGGTTCTGGAGGAACTCAGATTCCATTGCTTTTGAGGAATGAGTGGCAGCCTAGCTTAACCTATACCTCTACACCTTTGCAGTTGATGTTACAGACGGGAGCCTCTCAGGGGTTCCCGGAGCCCCTAGGTATGCATTCTGAGACACCAGCTGTCCTGAAATGGTGTTGACAGTAAGCTGTGAGCACAGGGAAGGTAGCGATGGTGAAAGGCATAACTGGGACAACACTGCCCCCTCCCACTGGGTACCTCGCTCTACCCTACCCACCCTCTGTCCAGGTAGGAATCGGATCAGTTTCTTTGTTGGCTATTTGTCAAATTCCCCTGTAGTATCTTTCTCTGATATTTCTGTTCTCCTCCTGATATTGTCCGTTTGCTGGGAGTTTTGTTTGTTTGTTTGTTTAATTGAGTAGGCATTGTCTTTCAAGGCTAGTCAGGTTACTACTACAGAAACAAATGACTAAAGTATGCCATGTGGCAAAACAACAGCTATGACAGCCCTACCTTCTGTGGAATTCTTTACCTTTCCAACTGCTGTTCTGACAGAACAGCAGTGAACCCCAGTAAGCCGTGAACATGGAAGAACGGGAAATAAATAGAAATCAATCTTTGATATATTGCAGTATCATTGAGCAATCTGCCATTCAGCCTTCTTTTCGTTATGCATCTCAATTGCCTTTTCCCTTTGGAACCTGCTGGGATTTCCATGGAAATTCACCAGTATCTTTCTGTGGTACAGAACATTATCACTCTACGTTTCTGTTCTCCTTCCCCAGCAGGTGCAATAGAAGGAGTCAAAGTCTGAGTTGAATTTGTAGTTAGTCTAGAACCTTCTGGGTAATAAATCTTGAATCCTCCAGCTACTTGTTCAGTGGCAGTGCCCTTTATCTTTACGGTGTCAAGGCCGGGCAAACCCCAGTACATTAGGAACTCTGGCAAGGGTACTCTGCATTATCTCACAGACCCTTTGCCAATGGACTGGAGAAAAGAACAAAGACAGGGCTCACTCCACCAATTTTAAAATGATCATTGGCTGAGACCCAAAGCTCTGTGAATTGTTCCAAATCACACAATGAGATGCTGTTATGGGCGGAAACAGAGAGCAGGGCTGCACCGGACCATCTGCCCCAGACTATCTCTCCTACCACCAAGTTAGGGTTCTCCCACTTCCATCGCTAAGGCTCATCCCTTGATGCCTTGAAGACCTATCTGCAAGTCTCTCTTGGGATGAAGCACGTGTTCTCAAGAAAAGATACCTAGCGACTTTACTTGTTGTCAGAGGGAATGTTATTCAGGATGAGGTCCTAAGGGACAGAGTACAGAGACACACAAAGTAGGTGAGAGCAGTGGGTAAGAGGGGACAAGGTGGTGTGGGGCACAGAGATGAAAGCCAATTTTTCAGTGACCACAGGGCTTATGGCATTTCTCACCAAGGTCCTCCGTTGCTCTGTTGTATCCCAAGTAACATGTGGAACGTGCTGGGGCTCTTTCAGGGCATCTCTAAGACCACAGGCATTTCAGCCCAACCTGGTTCTCCATCTCTACCTTTTTTCCCAGGTAGCAGGCGTCAAGGGGATCTTCCTGGCAAACAAGAAAGTGGATGAGCAGGTGAAGACATACATCACTTACAACAAAGGCAGGGACTGGCGCCTGCTGCAAGCTCCAGACTCGGACCTGAGAGGAAGCCCAGTGCACTGCCTGCTGGTCAGTCGTCTGTCTCCTGGGAGGTTCACAGGGCAGGCTGGCTCCCTGGGAATGAGATGCCAAGGGCTTTCTCCTACCCTACCAAGAGAATTTGAGAATTTTCTCTAACTCCCAGGGCATCAGTCTGCACCTCAGACTGCCACATCAATTGTGTGGAAGGCTCAGTTAAGCTGCACAGGCTTTTACAGTGTACTTCAGCCCACAGTAAAACAAAGAAGTGTATGAGAGAAGGGACCTATACTTAAAAGTCTCAGGCAGGGCTTGAAGAGACGCTAACATGACACAGTTGAGGAGTGCATGATAGATGTCAAGGGAAGCAGATTCAGTCTTGGAGCCCTGGGAAGGTCAAGCTGGCATGTCTCTGTGGGAGAGTCAATTAATCCATCGGCTTTCTCAGGTTCTTGGTGTACAGAATATTAGGGTAGGAACCTCAGCCGATGGGGTGTGTCAAATAGCCTCCAGGCGGGAAGGGGAAACAATTAACAGTAACACTCATAACCTTCAGTGTCCTCTTCATGAGGGCCTGTACCAGAAACCATTGTACAACACCGGAAGTGATTATTGTTCTCCAGCACAAAGGAGCAATGGACCTCCTTTTGCCATGTATTAAAAATGTTTACCAAGCCCCTGTCTATCATGTCCTAGACACTATTAAACGATGGGGATAGAGTGAAGACTATGGCCAACAGTGCCCTTACCCTTTTTGTAGTTTTTAACTAAGTTCATGTTTTTGTTTTCTTTGCGTGGCTTTTTGTTTGTTTCCTTTGCTTTGTTTTGGGCACTAAGAAGATCAGAGACAAGTGGCTGCCTACACCTAAAAGCACCTCATAGCATAATATTTTTTCTGAAATCTTAGCCATGGCTTAATCTTATTTTCTTAACCCAATTTTCTCTTTTCATTTTTATATCTTCGCATTTTTATTTTTTGTATAGGACGTATCTCTGTGAATCCCCAAGCCCTTTAAAAATGTACGTATGGCATGCATAAATAAATAGGGGACGTAAACTTAGGTGTTTCAAATCATTGCTTTATATAAAATTCCATTAAAATTATAAACAGGAACAAAATGTATAAAATCGAAGCAGAAACGATCCAGTTGAAGAAGAAGACTGGGACTGTTTCTCTTAGCTTCCCCCTTTACTCCAGGTGGCCCCTTAGAGGTCTGAGAAGCAGGGTTTGATGATCAGGATCCGATTGGGGAGGTCACTGTCATTGTCTGAGAAGAGGCCAGGGAATCTTTCTCCAGCCATGAACTGGGCCAACCAAGACCCGGGCCTTGATGGAGGGTGGAGGTGAGGCTGAGGCAGGAGAGCATGTGATTGGATGAGGTGTGATCCAAATACAGTTTGTGTTTACATTTTTAAAATACTTATTATAGTAAAAGGCACATTGCTATTAATCCCCCTCGACATTCTCCCATTCACTTCGAACACACTCATCCTACCACCCCTGACACTTTCTGAAGCTGTTCTAGAAGTCCTCTCTGGTGAGTGTCTTTCACTGCACTGTCATGACTGCCTCAGTGTCTTGAGTCAATTCAAAACATTTACCTTTCATGGTCATTTTGGCTTTGGGGATTAACCAGAAGTCATCTGATGCCGGACCCAGTGAATAAGGTGGATGTGGACACACCATGATGGTTTTACAAGCCTTCCCTTTGTGTTGGATAGCACTGGGCTACAGCATTCACCATACTTTTGACCATACCCCATAAAGAGACTCATGAGGGAGGACCTCCCGAACTGCTTCAGAAAGATGCAGGAAGGATGGGATATGTGTGTTTGGGGTGAGGCAGAGGATTTTGAGGGGGATGGATGGCAATGTGTCTAGTACTGTAATTTTTAGAAATTAAACATTCACCATATATTTTAATCACCCCCAGTATGTAGGAATAAGGGCAGAAAGGACTATGGATGGTACTCAGGGAAACTTCTAAAGAGAAATATTGGGTTTGTCAGATGGAGAGAGAGAAGTTTGTGGCTCTTTATCCAGTACCTTGCTGTTTCTGGAAGCTGAATGTCTGGAAGCTTCATCTCCAGTGGGGCAGTGGTGAGTGAAGGTAAGGAATTTCCCAGAATGAAATGATTTTCCTCTTCCTTTCAGCCCTTCTGCTCCTTACACCTGCACTTGCAGCTTTCTGAAAACCCGTATTCTTCAGGAAGAATCTCCAGCAAGGAGACAGCCCCAGGACTTGTGGTGGCCACAGGTATGGAAAACATTCCTAGAATTCTTCCTCATGGAAAGCTTCCAGAACAAGTTTGTCTCCTATTTTTGGACCATGGGTTCATTTGATCATTCACTGAAAGCTACGGGAGCTCTCCCCAGAAAACATGCAGGATCACAGCATGTCAGATCCACAGCGCTCTGGACAATCATAACTTCTTGGGTAATGAGTCCTCTTCACCACCACACCAGCCCCAGAGACGTAGAGGGACCCTCTCAGCTTAGCAAGAGGCCAGAGTTGCTGCCAAAGTAAACAGGTCTGATTATTTGTAATAAGGCTTTCTCACTTTAAAAAGCATGATGTATGAGGTCTCCCAGCTCTCCAAATATGAGTTGGGGCAGTTTTCTCTTTACACCGAAGACACTTCGCCAAAGCATTTTACCCAGAGCTGTTTTCAATCAGGAGGTCTCTGGTGCATGTAAAGGTTTGTTTACACGTGATTAAGCACTTGGCTGCAAGCCTGGGGGAAAGGGCAGAAAAACTTGAGGTTGCATTGTTGGAGCCCCTGTCCACTGAGCATCAATCAGAAATGAAGATAAAGCAACTCTGAAATGAAATGCAAGTCTCCTGGGGAATGTGCTCTGATTAGCATGCATTTGATTTGCATACACCTTTTCAGGAATACATTACCAGCATAACACAAATCAGGCTTCTAATCTTAGCAGTTGGAGCTCTGTGAGGCAGCTTTTTTTCTAATGAAAGCAGATAAATCACAGCGACTTTTTGAGGAGGTGCATTCTGTTTTCCCTCATCAACCCAAAGCTCTAGCCTCTGGATTGCCTACTCTCCTTGCCATGGCTTCCTTCTCCAAGCCTGTAACTGAGGAAACTTTTAAAAACCACCAGTGACCAACCACTGTCACCAGATTGACAGCTAGTGTGGCCCACTGGCATCTCAGTTAGCTCCTCGCCAGTGAGTTTGGACAGGATCCACCATGAGTAGTGCTGCTCACCTTGGATTCCAGAGCAGTGAGACGGGAGACAGGCTCTGTGCTTGTTCCCAGCATGGGGAGTGGTCCCTACACTCTGCAGTCAGGGTGACTTGGTTCTTTCCCTTCGGGGGCTGCTGCCTGTCCCCTGGGGCCTGGCGTAGAAGCAATAACAGTCAATAGTGATCAGCAGTGAAAGTTAATATGATCTGAATGCTTATGATATAGCCAGGCATTGTTCATTGTGGTTTAACCCCTCCCGTACCTCTGTTTTCATCAGCAAAGTGGGAATAAGAGTACTAACATAATAAAATTCCAGGATTAAATGGGGTAATGAATTTCAAATGCTAGAACAGTGCTCAGGACATACTGAGTGCTCAGTACATGCAGCCTGTCCGCATTAATATCACAGAAGTTAAAACTGTTCTTGCATTAGAAGAGTATAATTTGTTCATCTCCTTCCACAGAGCCCATAGATCATGTGCGTCCGAGAAAGCCTGGAACCCTGACCTTCTACCTTCTAAGCTGTACTCTGACACTCACTGGGCTTGTGAATTTTTTTTAGCTTTGGGCTTTGTATTCCTCATCTGTAAAACAAGGGTGTCTTCTCCCTCGCCAGGGTGTTGTAAGAATGAGAGATGAACATGAGCCCAGGAGACTGGACATAGCGTTGAGGTTAGGGAGCTGGAATTAGTGGTTCTTGTTACCTGTGAGCTAATATGTCTCTAAATCAGTTTTGTTAAGTCTTCTATGACATGTAGACATTGCAGAGTCATTTTTAAGTTTTTTATCCGCCTGTATCAAAATTGAACGATTCCTTTTTCCTCCCCCATCCAATTCTCGAGGCTCCTTACCAGGACATGGGAGGATGTAGCACAGCTGATGAGATCCTGCGGCCTCTTCATGCTTGCTTTTCCTTGTCCTGCTTGTCTGGTCTCCCTGGAGTTGATCTGCCATTAGGAAAGTGATCCTCAAGTCATCTGAGTATGCTCGGGGTGACCCGCAGCCCGGTCTCTCTGGGGCCCTTTCCTACACCCATCCCCCCTGACCCCGGGACCTCTAGGCTCTCTCCCTCCCTCCTGCATCGCATCCCTCTTCCCACCTTGCCTTGAGAGGTGGTCTCGAGGTGAATGTGTGCCCCGGGATTCCTTGCCAGTTCCTGGTGAGGACACCTCAGAAGGCAGCCTGAAATCTCATCCAGAGAGTCTGGCAATTGCTTTTAGCAAGTAGAGCCACTGGGGTTCTTGATACCCTGAACCCTGGTTTCCAACTGGTAGTAAAGACCTCCCATATTCACAGTGCTTTTCCATGTGCAGAGCACTCTCTGCTCTGATTGTGCAGCGACCCTGTGATGTAGCAAGGGCAAGCTCAGCCCTCTTTAATTTGCAGAGAGGAGGGGTGAGTGGGAACAGGTATCCTGCCCAAGCCCACTCCCCTCACCCCAGCAGGGTGCTTCTCCCATAACAGTCCAGCTAGCCCTGTCCCCAGCCCCTTCCCATGCTAGCCCCACAGCTGACACACTCTGTCCTGCTTCCTATGAACCCCAAGAGTCCACACCTTGTGCTCCCTCCCTTGATGGCCTTCTCCCCTAGGGCTGCCTGCCTGGTACATCCTTTCTGCAGCCAGCCCTTCACCCCCTGCATAAACAGCTTCTCTTTCTGGCCTCCGTGGTGATGAGAGCAGCATCTCTAACCCACAAAGGCCTCCGTGGCTCTCTTTCTCTTGTTCACAAGTGTATAAAGAACAGAGAAGGGTAGCGGTAGTGTTAGGAAGCAATGGGACAAAAACAAATTGTTTAAAGCTGCCCCAAAGGACAGCTCTGGTACTGACCAACTGCGGCTGTTGGTGAGGACGGCCCCTGCTCTCCTGCAGTGGGCGGCTCTTTCCTCGCTCCTGCCGTGTGCTCGAGCGGATGCAGCTGCGCCCCTTCTTCCCACCCCACTCTGGCCGACCCTCTGCAGTCTCACTTATCAGTCAGCTTCCCTGCTCAAGTCTTCCTTCTCTCCCCACCACACAAGCTGTTCCTATCAGATTGTCCGCAGGGCCACTCAGGGGCTGAGCATGTTCAAAGATCATGTCATCCTGGTCCGTCTTTTCTGTCCCTTCATCTGGGAACCAATTCTGGTCTCAGGATCTGGATTAGTAGGGTAGCTTTCAAGGTGCCGTTCAGTTGACAAAAGAGATTTCCAAACACAGATCTGACTGTGAGCCTGGGGTTCTTAGCCCCTCAGCCTTCTAGACCATCCTGGTCAAGCTTTGAAAAAGAAGCTGGAAGCAGCAGCAGAAGCAGCTTAGAGTGGAGTAGCCCCAAGGAGCCCCACCAGACATGGAACCCCAGGGTGCCTCTGTGCTGACCGCCATCCTCCCTCACTGCCCCTGGTTGACGCTACAGTGGCCCCTCACACACTGTCATGTGGAAACTGCACAAAGCTTCCAACAGATCTTAGCACAATGCTTTCTGGCAGCCACCACCACAAACCGAGTTGACATTCTCTGCTCCATCCTCTTTACATCTGTCTTATAAAACCTGCGTGTGGAGCGTTGAATTCCAAATTCCAGGCAGATCTCCAAAGAGCTGCCTTTCAAGCCTCTCCCTGTTCCTCCCATACCTACTGCGTGAGCCCGGAGCCCTGGGGTTATTTTTGGAAGCCTGGTGTCAAAACAAGTTGGCTAGCTGTGCGCGCCCTGGTGCCGATGGGAGCTTGACAAGCTGTAGCCTGGCTTTAATTTCTCATTTTGAAGCAGTAAATGTCAGGCACTCAATTAACATTTTCATTATTGCATTTTTATTGTGCTCTTATTTAGGCTACAGATGTGTGGGAACTAACATTCTCTTCCTGCTATTTTTTAAAGAAAAAATATCAACCACTATGTTAAACTCTTAGGCGTTTAGGGTCCCTTCCTGGCTTTTGATATGTCCCCTGGGGCACACAAACATTGGAACATCATTCAGTCATCTATTTCCTCACACATTCATCTCACAATTGCACATTAAGCATTAGCTACTCAGTTTGGGGCATCGTTTTAGGTTCCGAGGCTGGCATTGTCCATGAGGAAACTAGGATAGTATCACCAGAATAGAAAATCTTGACAGATTTCTGAATGAACACGATTTCAAGGCAATGCAGTACAAGCGGGGAAAGGAAGAGCAGAGAGAAGAGAATGTACAGGGCTGGAAGCGATAAGTGTGCTTGGTCCCGGCATAACCTGTACCTCCTTCTCCCGTACTTGGTAGCCTTGCTATGGGAAGTGTGGTCATCTTGTTTTGCTCAATCTGTAATTTAGGTTGCATGGTCTTTGCCACTGGGCCGCTCAACTGCCTGGTGCTCAAGAGATATTCTGTCAGATTGAAAACACACGCACATGCACACACGGGACACACCAGTTTTTCCTGGGGTAAAAGTATGCCTGAAGAGTACACCTTCTCCATATATGTCGATTCCCCCACTCACTCGCATTTTCCTAGGACAGCTGTCAGAAGAAATTTACAGTAGTATTGGTATACAGATGAATAATTTAGGAAACTCACCTGAGTCAATATTCAGTCATTGAGTTTTATCATTTAAAGCTGCCTTCTTGTCATACTATTTACTTGTCTTCCCATATTGGGTTTTACTTCCTGCTGGGCTTTTGATATGACAGCAAGAAAAAGACCGCACAAATCAACTGTAAGCATAGCATCCAACATCTCTGTCTTTGATACCCTGTCCACCAGTCTTGAGCAGGCTGAATCGTAAACTGCCTGACGATTTTAAATGATCTGATTATATTCCAGGCAACATTGGTCCGGAGCTGTCCTACACTGACATTGGAGTGTTCATCTCCTCTGATGGCGGGAACACATGGAGACAGGTAACTGGGATGATTGAGGAAGAGGAAAGAGGAAGAGGCATTTAGAGTAAGTTCTGCCAATACCTCTTCTCCTTCTGGATACCTAGGCTCACTGTGACTTTGTAGTTGCGAAAGCAACTACTCAGTTTGATGAATCTGGCTGGAAGTTTAGAGGAATGGGGCAAGATGGGAAGAGCAAAACAGGGAGGAGGAAGAACTGGAATTATCCCAGATGGTTCATTTCTTCCTTCAGCGTTACATATGTAACAGCCAGTGGATGCTAAATTCTGTGCTGGTTGCTGGGGATTCAACCCATAAAATGGTGTCTATTGCTAATGTGCTGGGGGATCTTGGAAGGCAGGCCTCATCACCTTTCTGAATGTGTTTCTTTATCTGAAAAGTGAAAAGATTAGACTATTAAATCAGGCAGTCCATGGAAGTTGATGGTTAAGTGTTATAAGACAGCTTAACAGATGCATGACTACATCGAGAATTAATTCAGTTTCACAAACAGCTGTGATAGCCAGTAGAACTCCGAGGGATGATGGAGATGTTCTGATTCTATGCTGTTGCACAAGCTGCCAAGCACATGATACATGGCTCGTGTGACAGAGGAACTGAACTTTTCATTTGTTTCAATTAATTTAAATTTAAGTCATTGCATGTGGCTACTGTATTGGACAACACCTGTTTATCCAATGTCAACTAAGTATTGGGCAGAAACCTCAAGTGTTGGAGTTTCTTTACTGAACAAGCTCAAAATTAAATAAAAGAAACAGGTTCACTACCAACAGTTCAGGGTGATTGTATTATTTTCCTGGGACTATGAGCACGGATATGAAAAGGAAGAATTGATTCTGGGGAAAGTGGGGAAGACTTCATGAGAAGTGGTGGCATTTGGTAATTCTTAAAGATGAGACAGTGTCTACCCAGAGAAAACAAGGGAATACCACTGAATGTTTTGATAATAAAGGTGAAGTCACCTCTGTAATGTGTTGGACAAGTTCCTATTTGATGCTTTAGAGAAGATTGTCCTCCTCATCAGCAGTATCACCATCACGTCAGCCCAAGGCCACCACTATCACTGCTACCATGATTTAAAAAATTACCTAACATGGTAGCTGTTCTAAGTACTGTAAGGCATAGAGTGACAAATGAGTCAAGTTTCCTACTTACAAGACCATAATCAGGTGGACGGGGAACTGACACCTAAATAAGCTCATACCTTCCAACTATGAGATCCTGGGGCAGGTACAAAGGGAAGGAGGAAGCCGGCCTGCAAATGCATCTGGTCCCAAATCACCAACAGACAGTTCATCAGCTCTTCACCTCTGGACACAGCTCAGCTGGCCAGGTGGTCACTGGACCATCATTTCTTTGTGTCATTACTACTTGATTTTCCTTTCTCTTTTCTCAAACAGCCACAGCTTCCACTTTGCTCTGCCACACTGGACAGGGTAAGAGTTATCAGTGGTCAGAACAATAGCCTGAGGAGGAAAATGTGAGGCCAGCTTCTCCATCCTTTCAAGGGCCAAGGCTCCTCCTACCCTCATCCTCATTCTCATGCCCAGGCTTCTGTCCTGTGCCCATTAAGTGGCTTATCGTAGAGCCAGCCATTAAGCTCTGGAGAGAGAAGCCTGTGAATTATCCTTCACATGTTAAGACTTCCCATTTGTAAGATACTTGCTTTTCCTGAAAAGTTAAATGTGAAGGTTGAAAATAATAAGAGGTAGGGGCTCTTTATTTTTTTCCATAGTTTTCATTGAGCCATATGTACAGGAGGCCCCTTTTGCCTACTCATTCCCTTTTTAAATTCAGCTGCCTCCCTCTACCCCTTTCCAGCCCTCTTCACCTAATCCACCACCCCAGCTTTTTCATCTAGACTACAAGAGCCACCATCAGTGACTAAGTGCTGGAGGAATTCTTTAGCCTATTTTCCTCTAAAAGCTCTAAAGCTGAAGTTAGTTTTTTGCTGAAGAAATGTCTTTCCTGCTTCATATTGGAGTCATATATGGCATATGCCCTATGTAGGATTAAGTCTGATGTTCTCTTAGTTCAGAGCTTTATATCATAGTTCATGTTTAGCAAATGCCTATGAATAGATGGGCAGATGGATCACAGGATAAGTGAAGGGGTGAATGGATGGATGGATAGATTTTGGAAAATAGTTGAATCAAACATGAATAACTACATCCTTGAAAGTGCTGTTGTCTTAGTTACTTTTTTTCATTGCTGGGACAAAATATATCAACATCTTAAGGAATTTTGGTGCAGTTTATAGAGAGGTTTCAGTCCATAGTCAGCTGGCTCAAAGGCAGGGAGGTATGACAGAGGGTTCTGGCAGAGGAGAAACAGTCCATGGCATGGTAGCAGGGAAGCAGAGAGAGGAGGAAGAAAGCTATACTCAGCAAAGTCACAACATAGTGACCCACTTCCTCTGACCAGGCTTTACCTCCCAATATCCTATTAGCTATAAACTCATCAGTGGATTAATCTGATGAGTATTATGCCCCCATGATCCAATCACTACCCAAAATCTCCACCTCTAAGCACATGTGGATTTGGGGACCATCTAGATATAAAGCATAACAGCTATATTCTAATGAATACTTACTTAGAATAGTTGTTCACAGGCATAGAAGTCTTCATTCAACTTTGAGGGGAACCCGGGAGGTACTGGCTTAGCATAAGTATTCAGTTATCATAGTGTCTAGGGAAAATATCTTTTAAGATCTTAGGTAAATTATAGTCAACCCCATGAGACATAGACCACTTATTAAATAGCAAACATCTGAATAGAGAGGAGGAAGAGAGGGCTGAGTAACTTTCTAAGATGAAAAGACGGGTAAGATTCTTTGAAATCAAACTTTTCTTTCAGTTACCTAGTTAAACATGCATCTTATTGCTTCACCTGGATATGGCACTCTGGTTCACATTACTGGGGAATGAGCCCTGAAAGTACCATTTGAGTGGCTTAAGGAGAGTTATGTCTTCTCTATGAACCCAGTTCCTCATCTGTCATCTATCAAATAGGAATAATATTTACCAAACTGCTAGAGTTGTTGGAAGGCTTAGATTCTAGATAAAACAACGCATGTGAAAGACTGCAAACTGTTAAGCACTATGCAAATGTAAGGTGCTGCTATGATACTTATTGTTGTTGTTGTTCCAGATCTTTGATGAAGAGTACAATGTCTGGTTCCTAGACTGGGGTGGCGCCCTCGTGGCCATGAAACACACTCCTCTGCCAGTAAGGCACCTGTGGTAAGGACAGCTCCCGACCCTATCCATGAGATGCTGTTTAGTGGAGAGCATTGGGACAAGTTACTCTGCATGATGTGTTGTCCATTTATACATTTCCTCACCTGTGTGTTCACCAGTCCATCCGCTTAATACTTTGTCTAGGTGGTAAGAAACGTGTAACTCAGATGGGGGAGTGTGACGAGTGGGATGGGGTGAAAGAAATGTGTGTTCAGATGAGACAGGAAAAACCTGCAAGTTCAGACAGCCAAGAGTAGGAATCCAAACTATGAGATGGAGATTGCTACAAAAGAACAATTACGTTCATACCAGGTCATTAGTTCAGCTCTAGAAAACTTTAACGTGTGATTTCCATGAATATTTCATCAGAGATGACCATTAATTATCAGATACATTTATCTGAAGATCAGGGCAAATGACTGGGCTGACACTGTAGGTTTGTATTTATAACCACTAGGTCCTAGGAGGTAGTTAAAAACATAGATGTGGGCTCAGTGCTTCAAGAGAAACTTGGGACATCTGTCAAAATTTCTTATCATCCATTTAAAATGGCATGGAAACACAACCATATTAAATACCTTGAGCAAGGCTACACACCTAGTACCTGGCAGCACCAAGCTGGGATCTGTTATAGGAGCTCCTGTATTTTAATTACTAATATTCCAGATACTGTAAGGAGCACTGAAAGGCTTATGACATGTTCCTGCCTTTCAGGAGGGCGTAGTTGGGATAAGGATGTTAGATGGTCCCTCCATTTATCACCAGAAGTCAAAGCAATGTCTGCTACATGGTGCTGGATGTGTGTCTTACTAGAAAAAGGTCTGCCTGCAGCACATGGCCCAAGGCCTGATCCCTGAAGAAAGGAGGCCAGGAGCTGCAGGATTGGTGGGAAACAATCCAGGAAAGGACTCTGGCCCAAACCTGAAATTTAGAGAATGTAGGCAGAATGTGTTCAGAAGTCTACATTTGAATGTAGCCAAAACGTGAGTATTTAAGTGTGAGTAGGACTGTGAAGAGCTAAAATGACAGTTTAAGGGATTCACATTGAGCTGTAGGCAATTTCTTCCACTGTCACAGTCTCATCTATCTCTGTGGAAGAAGTGCCATCTACTGAAGACCAAGTGGGTCCTGGAGGGTGAGAGAAGAGAGCTTGTGTCTTAGTTACTTTTCTCGTTGCTGAGACAAAATACTCAACACCCATAGTTTCAGCTCAGTTTATAAAGGTTTCAGTCTGTAGCTGGCTGGCTCCAAGGAACGAAAGCATAGCAGAGGGGCATAGCAGAGGAGAAATAGTCTATGGCAGGGCCAGCAGAAGGCAGTGAGAAGCAAACAGCCAGCCTACTTTTCCCTTTTAGCCTATCCAGGATGAAAGACTTTTGGGTGGTGCCACCCACACCCAGGGAGGGGCTTCTGTCTTAGTAAATCCATTCAGCCACACCTAGAACTGTGCTAATTCCAATCAGTGGACCAATTCAGTACCATACACCCTTAATCCTAGTATCATACCCCTAATCCACACCCACACACTCTAGATGCAGCCATCTCTGAAAAGTCTCACCTGTGACCTCATGAGGTTTTGGAAGAACATCTAGATGCAAGCCAGAACTGCTTGGAACACCTTTTTTAAAAAACCAGGAAAGACAGTTTTTCTTAGCCCCCATCATTATCTAGAAACCTCCATCTAAAGTGCAAGAAGAGAATAGATACTCTGTGGACAGATATAAGTAGAGTAGTGTTTCCCCTTTGGTCCTAGGAGAAGTGTGTAGCAACCCCACCTTGCACTTGACCACTACCTAAGCTTTCTCCTTGCTTATGCTAAGGATCTAGTCCTCACTTAGTGGTTCACTTTTAGCTCCTTGTCCAGGGAAGTGTCCTTGTGCTGAGGAAAGGGTGAGTTTGTTGCTATTTCTTTTGGTGTAGAAAGGAGAGGTACTTTGGATTGGACAGAGCACATGGTGCTGAGGAACTAAAAGCATTTGGGCTTTAGAGAGTCTCAGCACCCTTACATCTGGCCGTTTGGTCTGACCTGCAGTGGGCTCTTCCCAGAGCACTGCTTACTTCCAAAGGAGCCTTTGTATGAAGCCACCCAAGTTGGGAAAATGTTTCAGTATTCACATAGGGGATATGTAAGTAAGATTGAATCACACTCTTCAAAGACATCAATGCAAAGTTTGAATTTTCTGTTTTTCCATGTAATATCTCTTTTCATGTGAAAAACCATGATGAACAATAATGCATTATCATATATCTCAAAGAGAGGAATTGAAGGTACTCATCATAAAGACAGGATTCAAGTTTAAGGATGCACTAGTTTTCTTGAGTTCATCACCCAAGGTATATATGAATCAAAACATCACATTGTACCACAAAAATTGTACAGTTATGGCCCATCAAAAGGTAATTTAATTTTTAAAATATAAAGATATTTGTAGAACTGAGAAAAAATAACTCCTCACTGAACTTGCTCTCATAATAACAATATAATACAATCCTATATTTATTTACTTAATCCATCTTAGAAAATATTTAAGACTCTTTTTCAAACTAAGCTTTTGAGATAGTATTATCTTCATTGAAAGGACATTGTCACTGTCATTTGTTGTACATTACAGACTTGAACAGGGACAATGATTAATGTTCACTTGCCTATCTATCAATGCCATTCCAAGGAGCAATCCCTACAAATGGTTAAATGCACACTACCGACTATGTGTGTTAGAAACAGGAAGGAATAACTTATGCAGGAATTGTCTTTTGTACTTCTTTTTCAAAGGCTAAGTGAGTGTTTTGTAAGGGCTTGACCATGTCATTACCATCAATGTTTTCTCATGAAATGGTTCACTGATTTTGTCTCCTGCTTATGAGAGGTGAGCTTCTGAAACTCACTTGTTTCTTTATTACTAGTAGCTTCTAATTAAGCCACAATTTTCAAGGTAAACAAATAGCTAATTTTCAGAGGATGAAAGGTTAAGTAATCAGTGTTACTTTCTGTTGTAGATCTCAGACTGTTTTTGTATATATATATTTGCACAGAAAAAAGATACAAGCTTACCCATTCTCACACAAGGGTATAGTGGCTCTCAGATTTAAATCATAGCTACATTGCATTTCAGAGGAAATAGGAGTCATAATTGAAAAGCTGGGGAAGCTTTAGCCAGGCTAACAAGGCATGCTGTTTCCTACAAATTGAAATGATAGGTAGCTTGATAGGCATGAAGTCAAAACGGCATACAAATGAACCCGTCCACTTGTGACCATGTACACCTGGTTAAAACTTAAGTGTTACTGCAGGTAAGCCTTTCCTCCAGCATTACCCTTGTACCTTAGAAGCATTAGATGGGAATGCACAACAGACCCCCACTGAATACAGGGCTCCAGTGAAAACTCACAGTAGACAGGTGCCTTGTCCACATGTGGACTGGGGTGTGACTGTGTGCTCAGCCCTGACAAACTGTCAGTGTCTCCTTTCAGTGGGATGTTCCTGGAAACAAAGGAAAGCCTCACCTGGCATTTTGTGGTGCTTTGTTCCTCTGTAAATGGTGTGGACCTAGCATTTTGTTTTGTTCCTGAAAAACGTTCCCATGAAAACAATACTTTGAACTGATGCATGCTTCGAAGCAGTGAGAGCGTGTGCGGTTCTGAAGAGCTTCCAGGTGCCTAAAATCCTGCCAGTACATGGATTTGGATGGTAATCAAAAAGAGCAATATACCTCAGCCAAGGAAAGGATGTTGATTCACCATGACCATTCTATTTCCAAGCTGGAGACTTTCAGGAAGGACTCTGGTTGCTCTTTGAATATTCTACTCCTTTTAGTTTCTCTCATCTCCATCTCATAAAGCCATATACTTGACTAGTTCTCATGACATTAACTTGTGATTGTCAACGATGCCAGTTATCTTTTGGCTTAAACTTATAATTTCATTATAACTAATTTCATTAGTTAATCTTTCTTTCCTCATATGTAGAGATTTTCATTTCTATTAACCATTCTTCTCTAAGTTGGCCATACCTTATACGAGACTTCCAAATCTACACCCCAGGTATAATCTCAAATCTGGATCCATCCATTCAAAGGTCTCCTTGACAGTGTGAGGAAACACTGTTGGCAGTTTACATAGAGAAGTGAAAGTTGTCTTTCAAAGTTTGGATCAATTTGTATTTCTCCCATTTAAACTGGAAACAGAGTCCTTTATGACCTGGCTTCTGCCTCCTGTTCTGATTCCATTTCCTTCTGCTCATTTCCTTTCCATGAAGATACTCCACTGACCATCTTTCTGTTCTTCCTGTCGGACAGCTTCATTTCCCATTAGCTCTCTCCTCTGGAGTAGCTCTCCTCTTCATCCTTGCCTATGTTGTTCCTGATTATCACTCAGATCTCAGTTTAAATGTCACATTTCAGGCAGGGCTTTCTTAAATTGCTACTATGAAGTAGTCATGTGGTCATTAGCAAATCAGTTTAATTTTTCATGGCTCTTATTCTTATCTTTCTATCAATCTATTTGCATGTCGCCTGTGTCCTTAACCTGGAGTGTAAGTTTCATAGCTGTGAGGGATTCCCCTTTCCTTGATCTGGCTCTGTCCCTACAACTGGGGCCACTGCTGGCTCTGGCACATAGTAGGCACATAACTATTGATAAATGAAGTTTATTTTCTTTTGATTCCGTATTTCTGTCTTACCACTATTTGGAGGTCAATCAGAAGTTTACTCCTATCTCCCTGAGTACTGGTAACCCTACTGATTTCAGTATCACCTATGGACCTCATAAGGAATTCCTAGTTCCTCAGTCTTGGACATTAATGAGCTACTGATCCAAGGGAGGGGAATGAGGGTCTTTGGAGGATGTATTCAATATAGGTACCTCAGGAAAATTTCAGAGACCTAGTAATCACAAAGAATACTCTCAGGAACACCAGGCCCTCTGCACCCAAATGTCTGATAACCAAAAGATTAAGATTTCTGTTTTCATTTTGGAGTTTCTTTGGGAAGTTTTGAGAGAATCAAGGGCTATAAATTACTGACCCAAGGAAGTCACCCGTGGCCCAGTCCTGGGCTTCAGAGTTGTCCACTGACGAGAGGTGAGGGTCACAGGGGTCCTCACTGTGGGTCTGGAGCCTGTGCTATTTATGTCACCCTTGCGCTTCATTTCCATACGCTACTTCCTACCTGGACTTCAGCATTTCTCATCTGTTCTTTAGCCATCCCCTGAGCCCATTCTCCCCTCTGGCCCGTGATGCTGCCATTCTAGATGGACTCATATCGGACAGCATGTTCTTGGTCTTCTGAGTTTCTCTCGCCAGCTGGGCTTACCCTTACCTTGGAGCATTTGTCTTGATACTAGGAGGCAGTGATGGGCCCTCATTGTATGCCCGGTGGTATCCCCTTCTCACTGTCCTGTGCCCTGCTAATGCTGACAGTCAGACATGGACTCCTGTCCCTGGGATGCCGGCAACCTGCACTACAGCTTGCTGCTGATGCTAGTAATTGATATTGCTAAAACAGGCCAGAAAAATCTGAGAAGTAAACAAGGAAAAGGCCTTAGACTCATGTTGACTTCTGTCTATCAAGACAAAAACTAATTTATACAAAGTCACTAAAAAGAAAAAAAAAACCCTTAAACCCTTATCTCCTGTACTTACCAGACAAAGCCAACTAGTTAGTGGCCAGGGTATACTCTGAAATGATTCTGATTTCTTTGGGAGCCACTGGGCCACACATGCAGCAAGGTAAAGTTCATTCTCAATCCTGCCTTCATTTTCACATTTGAAAGGAAAAATCCACATCTATGAAAAGTGGTTCATATCTTCCCAGCTTTCTCCAAACTCAATTTAATGATTATTTAGCCTTCAGCCTTTTTTAGAGGTTGAAGTGACCAAGTCCCTAAAATTCGAAACAGATGCTAATAATTTCGAAACTCTTAAAGATGTTTATGATGGATTGTCTGCTTTTCATTTATGAGCATGAATCTAGGTAAACCAGAAATACAAAAACTGTCTGAGAGACTCCTTACTCTAGGTAAGGAGAGATTGGCTTTGTTATTGCTTTAAATCTATGAATTAGGAAAGAGTAGAGAAGACAGAAAAATAGAGAAGCAGGGAGCAGACAGTGGACCTAGCATGGGGTTATTAATGGGAGACAGACTACCACATCCGGTTTATAGACATCAGTTCAGTTACACTTGAAAGAGTGATTGCATGGGGATTTAGCTCAGTGGTTTCGCTGCCTGCTGTACAAGCGCAAGGACCGGAGTTCAATCCCCAGTACAAAAAAAAAAGAGTGATTGCATGGATTGAGACAGCCCACCATCCCTTTCTCTTGTCGTGCATCCATTCATGTCGTACTTATGCTGTATCAACTCTGTGCCAGGTGCTCTGCAGCCTAACAGAATATAAAAATGAATGGTATGGTTCTTGAACTCCAAAAGGTCAGTCAGTTTCGGTGGCAGTCAGACATATTTTCTAAAAATATATATGTGCTACTCTAAAGGAAGAAACATTGTAATAAAAATACACATGTAAGGGGCCATTCTATGAATAAGACGCTTGGCTCCCAGAACTCTGAGTTTATAAACCTGAATAGAGGGAAGTCAAAAACAGTTATAAGTCATTACTCAGAACTGTGATAAAAGGCCTGCGTGTTGTAAGAATATCAACATGGGAGCGGGAGTCCAAACCCTAAATTGTGGAGTTAGGGAAGAGTTAAGGATCAGATGGGACAAGGGGCCGGAGATTTATCTCAGTGGTGCCATCGCCTGCCTCGAAAGCTCAAGGTCCCAAGTTCCATCCCCGGTATCAAAAACAACAACAAAAAAGAGTCAGAAGGGACAAGAAGGAGCACAGAAAATGAAGAAGTCAAAGCTGGCTTAAGACAGAAGCAGTTCCCACAATAGCTTCCCAGAAGAAATGGTCTATGGGGTGTATCGTCTAGCTGAGTCAAGGAACCCGGGGGAACTTGGAGCTATCCGGAGAGGAAAATCATGTGCCCGGAATTTCTCCAGTGCCCTCCACTCCCAGCAGCCTTTACAGAGGAGCCGGTTCTGCACCCTGGATAAACCTTCCTCTTACCCTTGGTCAGAGATGGAGCAGAGCTGCTCGGAACATCTCCGCCATCAAATAGCTGTTCCTCAAAACCCCTTAAATGCCACTGGGGAGGGGAAATCATCCCAACATCAGTCCCAAATAAGTAGGAAACTGCATTTTTTAAAAGTTTGATCTGAAAGACACACAACCCCCTTCCCATAGGGCACACACCGCAGTGCTCAATTTATCTGTGTCAGAAACTCTAAGGGCTGAATTGAACATGCTGTAAATTGAACCTCGGGTTCCATTCTGAGTACGTGAAACGTGACACACCGTCCACGAAGCCCTCCTGCGTGGGTTGTTTTTTCCAGTCTAATGTGCTGAAATATTTCTGCTGTCTCTGCCTGGGCCAGGAAATGTAGTTTTGATCCAATCTTATAATAATATAGGGAGATGTTGAAGATTAATACCTATTGATACCCAGACTGCCAGAGAGCAAGAGACCGAGGAAAATTTAATAAGCTGCAGAACAGTCGCCAAATGTGTGGCTTTATTTTCAGCGGACTTTTGCATGTGCTTGATTCCACCCCAGGGTGAGTTTTGACGAGGGCCGCTCCTGGGACAAGTATGGCTTCACTCCGCTTCCTCTTTTCGTGGATGGGGCTCTGGTGGAGGCAGGCGTGGACACCCACATCATCACGTGAGTACTTCTGCTGTGCTACAAAGGAGAGCCGAGACCTCAGTTCTACTTCCATGTGGGCCTCAGAGCTGGCCCCTGGTATCCTGCTCCTAAACATTTTATCTCTGGGCCAAGGTTTCCCCAGCTGTACAACGGAAATATTTATGCTTGTCCCCACCAACACAAAACAACGTCTGACAGGATGAGAGAGCCAGGCTCCTAATGGCACCATTATGATTTCTAGTGGAATTTGAAATATGAGGATGTATTCCCATTTATCCAAAACCCAAGCAAACAGAAAGTTAAGTCATGAGATTTATTTTTTTCCCCAGAACAATCTAGAAGAGGCAAGGGATAGAGACAAGGGACTAGACCAGCCAACATACTGAAATCAGGGACTGCTTCAAGAGAAGCTTCCAAAGTCTGTGTGTCTCCTACATGTCCACACACTTCAGATTTTTTGTGAAGCTTTCTTCTTTTCTTTGCAACAAGGCTAGATGCTTGGGGTATAGAATTTAAAACTATGAAAAAACTCCCAAATACTTTCTGATATCCATGAAAGCAACAACAATATTAATGTTTATTTGTGACTATTTTTATAATAGAATATGAAATTTTAGTGCCCTAACATTTGATTACCTGCATTTGTGTGTGCACTCGTACGTGTGGGGCGAGTGGTAATCCTCCAGCCAATACCGCGCCCACATTCCCACAGGTCCTGTTGACTGGGGCATTTTGCACCTTAATTCATTGCTGCACAGAATGAAGGGTTCCTTGCTGGGAAAGTGCTGTGGCCTGCACAGCAGGGTCTCAAGCCAGGGAGAGCAGTGGGAGATGAAGAAAATCGGAAAATATCAAGAAAGTAGGATACGTACCAAAATTATACTTGAAAGCTGGGACCAGGTGGAACCATAGCCTGGTGAGCTAATGGCAGCCTGGAGTTCGGGGCTCTTTATTTATAGTGTAAGACAAACAGGAAGAGAAGGCGGGGTAACTCTTGCCACGAGGCCCAAGTGGAGTAGGCTGACCGCAGCGCGATTGTCTCATGATCTGGGCATGCGCAGAAAGGGAACAAGGAAGGAGGGTGCAGGATGTAGCTGGCTCCCGGGGCTGTGCCATCCGGGGTCTGCAATCTTAGTCAAACAGACTGTGTCCCTTTGACTTACCTACTCGTAGGGAGGAGGAGAAGAAAGGGCCATCTTCAGGCTCAGCCATGGCAGGAAAGACCAAGGGACATTTATTTGCTCCTTTGTAGGATTGGCTCATGTTTAGTCAGTGCTCCACTCCTAGGAAGCATATCGGAGACAGTCAGCTGAAAAAGAGGACAGGTTTCTTTCGGCTCTTGGTTTGAGAAATTGGAGTCCATGGTCACCTGGCCCTGCCGGTTGGTTGCCCTGTGGGAAGGTGGCAGCCATAAGCAAAGAGGAAGAGAAAGAGGTGGGCTTCATGATCCCATCAAGGTCCCCATGCAGTGACAGAGCTTCTTCCCACTAGGCTCTACCTCTTTTGAAGGTTCCACCAACTGCACACATGTCAAGCTGAGGACAGCCTTCAATACCTGGACCTTTGGGGACACTCAGACTGTAGCAGCGTGGAGGGTTCAGAGCACGTACCTGTGTTTGGTGGTCTGTGAGGTCTTCTCACTCCGAAGGACCCTGCTCTGCTTTAAGCTTTTGTGCTCATGTATTTCTATGCACTCAGAATCAGTTCTTTGCTAATACTGATGGGTTTTGTGGAGGGACCAATATAGGGGCAAATAGCTAGTTGTTATCCTCTGCCATTTTCATGGGTGATCATATATGAAGAATCCTTTCCAAATGCAACTATATGGTTTTGACCAAATCTCAAAGTCTGGCCTCAAACTGCACTGCCCCTCACGCACACATAGCCAGCCTCACAACCAGAGGATTGGCCACTGCTTTGCACTTTCTGAGTGAAAGAAAGAATGCAGCCACAATGGTCAATGGAGATGGTGCAGGGACTGAAGGAAAAAACAAACTGACAGAGTAGCACTGGATCCCAGGGTGCAGTCAGCTGGACCTGAGCTAGGAGTCTGTGCAGGGTGGCTCTGGAGCAACCGTCCTCGGCTCGGCCTCTGGACCTGCATTTCTCCATTTGTAAAACCAAATCTCTCCATCTACTTTTTACTAAAATGTTGAGATTCTGAGAAATTGTTCCATTTGTATGAAATGAGGCAGGAGCTCTAAAAAGTCACTTAGGACAAGTGCCAGAAAGAGTGATTTTAAACTTTCTCCTTCATTTCCCTTGGAGTCTTCCACCTACTAGTGAAGTCTCCCCTGCTCTAAGGCAGTGAGCTCTGCCTTTGAAATACTTGATACTCATACGTGGGCATTTACTCTACGGTACACACTGGGTTGGACCCCAGCACCCCAGTCATAAATTGAAAGACAAGATGTCACCTCTTAGGAGGAGAGGCTATGGTCAACCCAGGAGATACGCTGCATTGGTAAGAGTTAGTTTTAGATATGCTGAGTTAATGATAAGACTTACTTGGGCCTGTTGTAAAATGTGAATAAAACTTACCTGTAGAACTTATTGCTCAGGAAGTGAGGCTGTGAATTTGAGCTTTGCCCAGTAATATTGTTCACTCTCTTAATGTACCCCCAAGTCAGAATTATCTAACCATATAAACTTCTGATTAAAATTTCCATATTTCAAAATAAGCTCTATTGTTCATCTATCATATTATTTTATTAATTTAGAATTAACAGCATTGTGAGCAAGTTTAGCTGCACAAACCATAGAATATTTAAGATATAGAATATTATTAGGACATAGATTCTAAAGCTTCATCATTTGGTAGATATACAGCATCAATATCAGCATTATAAGAGTCTTAGGTGTTCAACGGCTATATCATAACATAAATCTTATTTCTGAAATACAATTAACTTGGTAAATAAATGGATATATGTGTATACTTATATCTGTGTATACACACACACACACACGCACTCCTAAACACACACTACCCAGATGTTAGGGAGACACTGAGAGAAACTCCTAGAATCTAGGGTCTTGCCACAGTCTTTATAAAGTTATACTTTAAGACAAAAATTGTGGATGCTTGCTCTATGCCAGATAATGTTCCACATGAACAAATCAGAAAAAAACTCGCACCCTAAAAGAGTTTGTATGCTCTTAAGTTAAATTTGTAAGCAAATGACTGTCATGGAGCCCAGAACATTCTGCCAAGAGATTCAAAACTTTCTTATGTATTCAGGAAGTGAATGAAATATCAAGTATACCACCATCTTTTCCATGAGGTTGTCTGGCCATGAATGACTTTCTCAAAACTTTCCCCATCATTTACCTACACACTTGGCATCGGAGGAAAAGGTTCTACTTTTGTAGGACTGTCTCTGATATGCCCATTTAAGTATTGAGTTCTAGCATCTATAAAGTACATATATTAAAAATGTTGTATACGCCACTCTCTGGATAATTTCAAGCAGATGTGGTTGCTTACTTCATGCAAATCCATCTTGGCCCTAGAAACTTGGTCAACCATTCCCTGTTTTTGTGGGAAAGGGACTTAGTAGTCATCCTATCTTGTCCTCCTCTCATCTCATAGACAGATTTATCCTGCATTCTCTTGCATGGACCTTATTGGAACACACTGTTTGCTTCTCCTGGACCTTACTTTGTACAGCACATCAATCTCTACATAACCTGCTGTTCCCTAGAAAGTTGAAGGCCATAGTTTAATTCTGTGTTCATCTGATCGTAATGGTAATAATTTTTTCTCTACTTCATATGGAGTTTTGCTGGCCACATGGCATGAAGGAGACTGACCTCAGGGCCAAACCATTTACCGAGGAGGAGATAAGATAGCACTGCCTTTCTCTTTCCTCGCCACCAGGACGCACGGAGCTTGGCAGAGCATCTGCCCTCCCGGTGTCTGGTTGTCCAGGCGCTCTGAAGAACACAGCCTATTTATGTAAGGGATCAGGGTGGGAGGAGATATGTCTTCCTAGCGGTTGGAAGCATTCATCAAAACAAGTATAAACAATTTATGTTTCCTATTTTTAGCTTTTTGTTAGGTGAGAGTTTCTCTTGTGTGAAAACAATGCAGGTTTTGTGGGGATTCTTCAGACAGACAAAAAGATGAGCCCTGGAAGAGCCAGTTTCTGTCTCTGTTCTAAATTTGAAAGGACTTTTAAGCCTGGGTGGCCTACTAGGGATGATTAGAATTTTTCCTCTTGAGGTGGCAGCAGCAAAGATGATAGCAGGAGTTAAAAGTTACGTATATTCCTTAGGAACTACAAGAACAGTAAGTTCATTTGAGGACAAGGATGCTTGGCTTTGCCATTGAACTGAAAACTTCTTAATGAAATAGGCCATTGGGATTCTGAAAACTTAATTCTCTCTTCAGCTTAACTGGCCAGGGAGAAATGGGCCACAGTAAAGTCCGATTGCTTTTCCTTGTTGCCTTAATTTGGAGAATCTATACATATGCTGGACAGGAGACTGAGACAGGACGATCACAAGTTCAAGACCAGCTCAGGCACCTTAAGGAGATACTGTTTCAAAACAAAACTGTAAAAAGGGCCAGGGATGTAACTCAATGGTGAGCACTTGCCTAACATACGTGAGACCCTGGGATTAATCCCTATACCACCAAAAAGAAATTGAGTGAGCCTCTAACATGGGCCAGACCCTGTTAGAAGTATTAAAAATCTGAATACGATTCTTTCCCTTTATGGAGCTGTGTTAGATTGCTTGTTGATGGAACAAAATGCTTGACTTAGGCAATTTAAGGGAAGCAATGGCTTATTTGCTTTAACCAAGCTTTCAGAGGTTTCCGTACATGATTGGCTGGCTGGAAAGCAGAAACATGAAGGCAGAGGGTGTGGTGACGCAAAGCTGCTCACTTCCTGGCAGCCCGGAAGTAGAGCTCAAGGGATGAGCATGAGTGAGATATGCGCTCTCCAAAGTCCCGACCCCACGGACCCCTTCCTCCAACTGGGCACTGCCTCCTAAGGACACATCCGGCTCTG